TTTATATCATTCCGTTCATTAGAGTGCAGGTTTTGGCTGCGGTGGCCATATCCGCGAAATCTTTGATTACAGAGGTGAAACATTATTATTATTATTATTATTGCCATGAAAGGTCGGTGATTGAAATCGAAATGCCAGGTGAGGACGGATTACATTGCTGATCCGTCTTTTGTCAAGAACCGCAAGATGAATAGCAGGAGCACCAGACCAAATATAGCAGCAGTATTCAATTTACCCCCCTGTACCTGTAACGGCATTCACGGGAGTTTCATGGGAATTTGGAATTCACAAGCGGTCCCCAACCCGCATGTATAGCACATGAGATTTGATTATAGTGGTGAAGGTTTCGTACAGGACCATCCACCCTTTTTGAAGGGCCGAATACAGAGACCTGGTGAACTACGTGTCACAAGGTCCCCAAACGACCCTCCGCAGTTTTTGAATTTAGAGTTTTCCTTCTCCTAGAGATCTAAGACTATAGAACCCATTCTGTTCTGCTATTTACCCATCTTCTCCCTCCATAGCTGGAGGGAGAAGAAGAGGATTCGCACCTTTCCCAAGGGTATTAGCACGTAAGTGAATGTAATGGATTCGACTGGAATTCGAACTCGGCTCTCCGATTCCTCAATCCAAGCCGCTATCCATTACCCCACCGTGCCTCCTCAATTCAATGTCCGGGCGAATGGTAGATTTTTAAATGGGAAAGATGGATTGTGGCGGGAAAATATTTTTTGGCAGGACGCAATGAACCAACTTCCCTTGCTGTAGACAAAGCAATTCATAATAATATATGTAGGTACATATGCATAAATTAAAATAACATTAAATGCAGACAGCTGGCTTACATTTACGTGGGCAAATTCAGTGCTAACTAGATCTAGTCATAGTTCCGGCGGCCTATTTTCTTACTGGACAGCGACTTGAAAAGTGATAAAATATATTTTCTTTCACGAATACCTCACCTCCCACTAGGCAGGGGTAGGGAAGAGAAGAAGCAAATATTTTTGAAGTGGGTTGTTTATTCTTCATTTTCTGTCTGTCTCTCTCCCTCTATGCCACTTCCTTCTCTTAAAACGTAAAAAAATCCCCAAATATTCAAGAATCTTCAATCAGCAGATAAAGGCTGAACAGTTCTTGGTAATCTTAACATATTTGAGAAGAATATTAGAATAATCTAAAACCTGTAGAGACAGAAAGCCGTCTGCATGCGGATTGAAAATGAATTTAGTAAATTACCAGAAATAGAAAGGGGCTTAAGGCAAGGTTGTGTCTTCTCACCGGACTTATTCAACCTATACAGTTAGGAAATTCTAAGAGAATTGGAAATCCTACCGGGGTTTAGCATTGGCGGCCACAATCTTAACAATATAAGATACGCAGATGACATAGTACTGATAGCAGACACGGAAAAGAAAATACAAACGTTCCTACAGAAAGTTGCGAGGGAGAGCGAGAAGGGACTAAGCCTAAATTACAAGAAGACAGAATGCATGGCCATCAGTAAAAGGATGAGCCCAAAATGTCTTCAACTGCAGATATTTTGTACATAATTGGACACTTTCAGGGCAAACGTATTTTTTTAGATAGATAGTTTGTAGATGATGAAATGTATTGTTGGTATTTTTTAAATGTATTGCAGATAATTTTACTATACAAATGTATTTTTATACTTTTTAGTGGATGTATTAATTGCCATTTGTCATCCTACTGTAGAACCACATCTCCGCTGCCTCGAGTCTCTTTTTCGTCTTTGAGGAGACCGTCCAACATTCGCTGCGGTATAGGAGGACAGATGTCACGTAGCAACTCAGTACTCTTTTCTTTGTCACCAAAGAAATCCTCCTGTCTCGCAGTACTCTGCTCAGTCTTTGGAATGCATCCTTGGCCATTCCAATTCGTCTTTGGATCTCAGCGTCGTACCTACCGTCCTCCGTAAAAAAAACACTTCCCAAACTTCTGCACATGCTTGATTTTAGTGTCTCCGACCAGCAAAACTACGCAAAGGCATTCGATAAAGTTTGCCACAAGGATCTGCTGGAATTGTTCAGCAACCTTGATATATTCAGGAGAGATATTACAATAATCAAGAACCTATACTGGCAGCAAACGGTATGCATGCGCATTGAGAATGAGTTCAGCGAATATACAAAAATAGAAAGGGGGCATGAGGCAAGGTTGTGTCTTCTCACCGGACTTATTCAACCTATACAGTGAGGCAATTCTGAGAGAATTGGAAATCCTACCGGGATTCAGTCTTGGCGGCCACAATCTTACCAACATAAGATATGCAGATGACACAGTGTTGATAGCAGATAGAGAAAAGTAACAGCAAGAACTCCAACAGAAAGTAGTGTAGAAAAACGAGAAGATAGGACTAAACTATGTAAAAATAGGTTTTAGTACCAGCAAAACATTATTGTAAAAAAAAATATTACCAGCAATTAATTTTTGAAGAAAAAAATTATTAGCAGTAATATATTTTTGGAAGAAGAAATATTACCAGCAATATATTTTTGAAAAAAAAACTACCAGGAATATATTGTTGAAAAAAACAAAATATTACGACCAATACATTTAAAAAAAAAAAAAAAACTGCCAGCAATCCATTTTTGAAAAAAACAAAATATTACCAGTAATACATTTTTGGAAAAAAATACCAGCAATACCTTTTTCAAAAACAAAATATTACCAGCAATGTATTTTTTTTTTAAATACCAGCAATACATTTTTGAAAAAAAAAATACCTGCAAAATATTTTTGAAAAAACAAAATATTGCCAACAATAGATTTTTGAAAAAAAGAAAAGAAATATTACCAGCAATAAAAATCTTGTCGACATTAAATAACCCATTGAGGTGTTGATATGCCGTAAAACAAGCCAAACCAAAGCGGATCTGTAGAGAATAAACATTGCCCGCCATTTTTTATTGAAGGAAAGAATAATACAAAATCTCGACAGTGTTAATGAAACTTGATTTACAAAGTAATTGTGTTACAAAAATATTTTTTTATTCATGAGTAATGGAGTAGTGGATAGCAGTTTGAATTGAGGAATCGGAGAGCCGAGTTCGAATTCCAGTCAAATCCATTACATTCACTTACATGCTATTACCCTTGGGGAAGGTATGAATCCTCTTCTTCTCCCCCCAGCTATGGTTAAATAATAGGACAGACTGGGTTTTATAGCTTTGGATGGCAACTGGTCTAGGAGAAGGACAACTTTGAATTCAAAACCTGCAGAGGGTCGTTTGGGGACCTTGTGGCACGTAGTGCACCAGGTCTCTGTATTCGGCCCTTCAAAAAGTGTGGATGGTACTGCACGAAACCTTCACCACTAGAATCAAATCATATATGCTGCTGTCTGGGCTGCTTGACCCTCATACGTCGAATTCGACGGGGGAGTCAACCATATATATATATATATATCTTTTTTTAAAACCTTGTTTTCCCTCGAGATTGATTTGATTAGCAAATCAAAAATTCGAGGGTTTTTCGAAACGAGTCTAGTTATCTATATTTATATATATATATATATCTTTGTAATATATATCTATATCTTTGTAATATAATTTTGTTATATATATATATATGTGTGTGTGTGTCTGTACATTCTTTTTATAGACACGAATATTTAAGTAAATGCTCTGTTTTATAATAAACAGTATTAAACAACATTTACCGGCCTGAATGTCCGAGAAATTTTCATAGAAAATATGCGTCCTCCGACAGGAATCGAACCTCTATCCTATACGGAACCGTCATTTAGCTTGACGTGCCTTTAACGGTTTCGGCCACAGAGGAGCGTTCGCTTAGCAAGGTCGATTTTATTGTCTTTAAACTTTAATCTTCCATGATTCTCTCACGTATATTCATATCTGCTCATGGCGTATCAAATGTAAACAAATGACGTCACTTAAATATTTGTATCTATAAAAAGAATGTATAAACATAAAAATGTCTTAAAATAATTGTCGGACTTTGTCCATTTCATAATATATATATATATATATATATATATATATATATATATATATATATATATATTTCATTTATATATATATATATATATATATATATATATATATATAAAATTTGTTGGCATTAAATAACCCTTTGAGGTGCCGCAAGGAAAGTTGGCTCCCTGTGCCGCGCCAGGAAATCTTTCTCCCCGGAATCGATCCTCCAGATTTACAAATCAACAATTCGCCCTTGCATGGAGTATTGCTGCCATATATGGTCTGGCGCCCTTCTGTTTGCCTCGGGGTTCTTGATAGGCTCCAGAAGCGGATATGCAATATAATTGGCCCTGATCTGGCACTTTCTCACAGACGCGCCGTCGCCTCTCTCTGTCTGTTTTACAAATACTTTCATGGCAATTGCTCCGGGGATCTGCATTCGCTGGTTCCCAGACTTCATGAGTTCAAGCGTCCTACGAGGCTGGCATCCTGCTCTCACCCTTTCACTGTCGAAACTCTTAAATGTAGCCGTCTCTTCTAATCCAATAGTTTCATGTTTCGCACCTCTCGCCTGTGGAACTCCCTTCCCTATTCCAGTTTCCCTGGGCGCTATAATCTCCAACTATTCAAATGAAATGTTAATGTTCTATCCACTATCCTTCTCCTCATCCTTTCTTCTATCACTCCTATCTGATCTTACTCCAAATTTTCTGTAACCTTGCGTCCTTGTGGCTTCTCGCCTTGCATGGGGTGAAACGCTTAAAAAAAAATTCCATAAAACAAATGAAACTAAACATTAACTACAAGAAGACGGTCGTTAGCAAGAAGAACCTGCAAATTATCAATCGGAGATAACCAAAATCCAGCAGCCAGAAAAAGATATCTAAGAAGTGTTTCAACTGACAACGGAAACTGTGACACTGAAATCCGAAGACGCTTTGGGATAGCGAAAGATGCCTTCCAAAAGCTAAGCAAAGTATGACGAAACAGAAAAATTTCGTAAGAAACCAAGAAATGAGTACAGATCTTTTACGACCTCATAACGATGAAAGGCCGGTTCCCGTACGATCACCGAAGTTAAGCAACGCAGAGCCTGGTCATTACCTAGATGGGTGACCGCTTGGGAATACCAGGTGCTGTAAGGCTTGATGAATTGAACGTGTAATAGCTTATAAACTCATCACGCTGAAAGGCCGGTTCCCGTACGATCACCGAAGTTAAGCAACGTCGAGCCTGGTCAATTCCTAGATGGGTGACCTCTTGGGAATACCAGGTACTTTAAGCTTGGAAGTGCGTGGTGTGATGGTGTAATGGCCCGGAAAATGTTAATCGTAGAGCCGAGTTCCAAAAATATATACTAATGAGACACTAAACTGAAAGACGTTCATTTTTAAATTGTCTGACAGAGCCATGACTTGTTTTTTCTGCTTGTGTGTCATGGTGCAGAGTCATTTTGCCAGACAGTGGATATTTCAGCAGCCACCCTCTTGATCCAGGGCAGCACTACCTTTTCAAAGCATTTTGATGTAGGTCTTCGTGTTGAGTCTGAGACCCTGTAGAGAAACAGAGACATAAGGTCACCATCATTAGTGATCACTCCAAAAATCTTCGTAAAAGTTGGGGAATACTTGTTTAAGTTAATGAATGCTACCATAATCCTCGCCTTCAAGCCATCTTTGGTGTCACAGGGAGTTTTGCTGGTCTCTTGCACAACTGCACCTCACATAATAATAAAGGGGGTTGCAGCTTGGGGAGTGAGGTGACCAGATGTAAGGGGTCATGTAGTCGCAGAAATTGTTTGGCAGCCATGACTGGGTTCTGCTTGTGTGGCATGGTGCAGAGTTCTGTTGCTAAACATAGTGTTTTTCAGCATCTACCCTCTTCACCCAGGGCAGCACTACCTCCTCAAGGCACTTGATGTAGGCCTCCGTTTTATGTCTGTGGCCGTCACCAAAAAATTCGGGAGTTCTTTTCTTATCAGAACGATTAGAGTGAGTTTTCCGAACTGCCTTACTTTCATAATTACTGATCCAACTCTTTCCGAATCCCCCCGCACTGTCCTCAGATTGACACCCAAACATTCTGAAATGTTCGTATTGGAGCTCCCGGTGCGAATGCCAAGCAGTAGAGCACGCCGTTTCCAAATTTCTGGAGTTAATTGATTCCTGGTGCTCTTTTTTTGCCCAACTGACCCTACTATACTGTGCAGTCGACTAAATAAAAAACAAACAACGCGCATGCGCGAAATTAAAAATATAAAATGGCGACAATTTTCTGTTGCCTCAAGCTTTCTTTTCATCTGTGAGGAGATTGTATAGCATTTACTCAAGCGGATGGATATTGCATAACACTTCTCTACCATTTTCTTTCGGTCTAACGGAACTTTCGTATTTCTTAGTACTTTACTTAACTTTGAGAAGGCACCTTTTGTTATTGCAATGTGCGTTTGGATTTCGGTGTCGAATTTGCCATCCTTCGCTGATATTTAAAATTGCGTACATGTTTGATACTGATATCTGTATAGCTGGCCAATCGTATTCGAGGATACCCGTCTAGTAGTGCGGCTAGCCAATCCCTGTTACAGACGCTTGCTCAGGCGCATTTGTGTTTATTCAACACCCACAGAGCCCACCTGTGGTTTATACTGCAACTATGCTGAGCAGACCTTAGTTACAGTTTCTGGGAAAGAGCGTGTTATCTAGCATGATCAACAATTTGAACAAGGCCAACACGCTCAAACGCTCGGCCACGATGACTTGTGACTTCGTGCTATCACAGCTATCGACGACTCCCAAGTTTTCCGTCAACCCAATTTTACTCACAAAGCTTGGGTCAACCCGTATGGTTTTCATGCACTTTCTAAAGTTAAGCAACTTCGATTCTGGTCAGTACGTAGATGGGTGACCGTTTGGGATTACCAGGTGTTGTAAGACTGGCTGCGCGGGTGGTGTAATGGAAAACTGCTCGGAAATGGAAATCAGAGAACCGAGATCCAATCCCAAACTTACTTGGGAAAAATATGAATCCACCTGATCTCCCTCCAGCTATGGGTTAATTAGTTGAACTTGTAAGTCATTATTATCTAAAAAATAAAAATTCCTACAATGTAAAAATAATATTTTTTAGTTTTAAATAAATTGCAAAAGGCTCTTTTATGTTCTCTGTACCTTCAGGACATAGGCGATCATGGCTCTTCCCATCTTCCTGTCCCTTATAGTTCTTAATAAGTTTTGTCTTTTTGTTATTTCTGCCATCCATTTGCCCAAGCCCAACAAGTATGTTACATGCTTTCATCTGTTCCTCTTTCCCTTGATTCGTCCCGTGAGTATTGGATTTTACAAGCCTTCCTTCCTCATTACGTGCTCCATAAATCTCAACTAGTTCTTTTTGATGTTATATATAAGTTTCCTTTTTGTTTCCGTTTTCTCCAAAACCTCGTCGTAGCTCACATGTTCAGCTCTTGGTATCCTCAGCATCTTTCTGTAGAACTACATTTCTGTTGCTTCCCTTTTCATTTGTGAGAAGATTGTCCAGCATCCACTGCCATACAGGGGGACAGAACTCACGTAAGAGTTCAGTACATTTTTTGTTTGTTTCCAACGAAATATTTCTGTCTCTTAATACTTTGCTTAGCTTTTCGAATGCATCTTTGGTCGTCCCAATACGTCTTCGGATCTCAGTGTCACACTTTCCATCCTCTGTTAGAACATTTCCCAGATATTTAAATTTCCTTATCTGCTTGATTTTAGTTTCCCCGACCTATAAATTGGATTTTGTGGTCATCCTTTTACTGATAACGATGTATTCTAGTTTTATGCTTAGTCCTTTCTTCTCGCTTTCCTATGTAACCTTCTGTAGAAGGTTTTGTAGTTTTCTTTCTGTGTCTGCTATCAGCAAGCCCAGATCAACCAATTAAAACCTATGTGCCTTTGGATCTAAATTGGTGCCACTAAAATTCTATGAATGGTCAATTTGTCGGCTTCATTTAAGTAAGTAACTTTACGCCATTTATTTGTCAACAATGTTTGTTTACGGCGTTATCTGCAGGTTATCGGCACACCGTTGTGCATGTAAATTGTAGAAGTTTATTTTATGCATGTCTTGCCAGAAATAATTCACAAGCAACAGAAGTATTTATTAAGATAGATGTGCTGTGGCTATCAACAATGGAAGCGGCCAACTTGCAGAAAGGAATGAACGTTTGAAAGACGAAATATGGGCTGGGGTGTCGTTTTTTAGCCAGCGCAGAAAAATTACTTCAAGATGTGAAGTAAGGGCGAAGATAAAGGAAAGAATGAAAGAGAGAGAGAGAGGGGGGAGCAAACAAGAGTGAGAGAGTAAACAAAAGAGGGAGACAGAGTGGGTGGAATAGAAAGTATAATGTATTAGAAAGAGTAAAAAAGAATGGGTGCATATATGCAGGATTGAGATAGAGAAAGATAGATAGAGTGCGTCAGAGAGAGAGAGAGAGAGAGTGAGAGAGGCTGTTTGTAATGAATTAGTATAAAGAAATTAAACAATTGATAGAATGAAAGCGAAAGTAAACAAAAGAAAGAGATTAGCTTAGATAATGTATAATGAAATAGAAAGAGTAAAAAAGTATAAGAGAGAGAGAGAAAGAGATCGAGAGAGAGAGAGAGAGAGTAAAAAGTGACAGACGATAGAGTATTCAAAACAAAGCTAGAGGGAGAGGGAGACAGAAATTATAATGAAATAAAATGAGTAAAAAAGTGTGGTATAAGAGAGAGAGAGAGAGAGAGAGAGAGAGAGAGAGAGGAGAGAGAGGGGCAGAGAAAGAAAGAAAGAAAGAAAGAAAGAGTAAACAAGTGACATAGATAGTATCCAAAAGAGAGAGAGAGAGAGAGAGAGAGTGAGAGAAATGGAAAGTATAGTAGAAAGAGAAAGTAGAAAGAATAAAAAAGAGTAGTATATAAAAGAGAGAGAGAAAGAGAGAGTGAGAGAGTGAGAGTAAACAAGTGAAAGAGACAGAGAGAGTATCCAAAAGAAAGCGGGAGAGAGAGAGAGACATAGAGAGATGGAAAGTATAATGAAGTAGAAAGAATAAAAAAGAGTGGTATGCAATAATATAAGAGAGAGAAAGGGAGTTTAAAGAAATGACGGGGAGATAGATAGATAGAAAGAAAGAAAGAAAGAAAGAAAGAAAGAAAGAAAAGGAAGAGGCAAAGATAGATAGATAGATAGAAAGAAAGAAAAGGAAGAGGCAAAGATAGATAGATAGATAGAAAGAAAGAAAGAAAGAAAGAAAGAAAGAAAGAAAGAAAGAAAAGGAAGAGGCAAAGATAGATAGATAGATAGATAGAAAGAAAAGGAAGAGGCAAAGATAGATAGATAGATAGATAGATAGATAGATAGATAGATAGATAGATAGAAAAAGAAAGAAAGAAAGAAATAAAGAAAGAAAGAAAGAAAGAAAAGGAAGAGGCAAAGATAGATAGATAGATAGAAAGAAAAGAAAAGGAAGAGGCAAAGATAGATAGATAGATAGATAGAAAGAAAGAAAGAAAGAAAAAAGAAAAGGAAGAGGCAAAGATAGATAGATAGATAGAAAAAGAAAAGGAAGAGGCAAAGATATAGATAGATAGATAGATAGAAAGAAAAAAGAAAAGAAAAAGAAATAAAGAAAGAAAGAAAGAAAGAAAAGAAAAGGAAGAGGCAAAGATAGATAGATAGATAGAAAGAAAGAAAAGAAAGAGGCAAAGATAGATAGATAGATAGAAAGAAAGAAAGAAAGAAAGAAAGAAAAGAAAGAGGCAAAGATAGATAGATAGATAGAAAGAAAGAAAAGGAAGAGGCAAAGATAGATAGATAGATAGAAAGAAAAGGAAGAGGCAAAGATAGATAGATAGATAGATAGATAGAAAGAAAGAAAGAAAGAAAGAAAGAAATAAAGAAAGAAACAAAGAAAAGGAAGAGGCAAAGATAGATAGATAGATAGAAAGAAAAGGAAGAGGCAAAGATAGATAGATAGATAGATAGAAAGAAAGAAAGAAAGAAAGAAATAAAGAAAGAAAGAAAGAAAGAAAGAAAAGGAAGAGGCAAAGATAGATAGATAGATAGATAGAAAGAAAGAAAAGGAAGAGGCAAAGATAGATAGATAGATAGAAAGAAAGAAAAAAGAAAGAAAGAAAAAAGAAAGAGGCAAAGATAGATAGATAGATAGAAAGAAAAGAAAGAAAAGGAAGATAGATAGATAAAGAAAGATAGATAGATAGAAAGAAAGAAAAAGAAAATAGATAGATAATAGAAAGAAAGAAAAAGAAAGAAAAATAGATAGAAATAGAAAGAAAGAAAGCAAAAAGAAAATAGATAGATAGATAGAAAAAGAAAGAAAAGGAAGAGGCAAAAAGATAGATAGATAGATAGGAAAAAAAGAAAGAAAGAAAGAAAGAAAAAAAGGAAGAGGCAAAGATAGATAGATAGATAGAAAGAAAAAAAAAGGAAGAGGCAAAGATAGATAGATAGATAGAAAAAAGAAAAGAAAAGGAAGAGGCAAAGATAGATAGATAGAAAGAAAAGAAAGAAAGAAAGAAAATAAAGAAAGAAAGAAAGAAGAAAAGGAAGAGGCAAAGATAGATAGATAGAAAGAAAAGAAAAGGAAGAGGCAAAGATAGATAGATATAGATAAGAAAGAAAGAAAGAAAGAAAAGAAAGAAAAAGGAAGAGGCAAAGATAGATAGATAGAAAGATAGATAGATAGATAGAAAGAAAGAAAGAAAGAAAGAAAAGAAAAGGAAGAGGCAAAGATAGATAGATAGAAAGAAAAAAAAGAAAAGAAAGATAGATAGATAGAAAGAAAGAAAAGAAAGAAAGAAAAGGAAGAGATAGATAGATAGATAGAAAGAAAGAAAAGGAAGAGGCAAAGATAGATAGATAGATAGAAAGAAAGAAAGAAAGAAAGAAAGAAAGAAAAGAAAGAGGCAAAGATAGATAGATAGAAAGAAAGAAAAGGAAGAGGCAAAGATAGATAGATAGATAGAAAGAAAGAAAGAAAGAAAGAAAGAAAAGGAAGAGGCAAAGATAGATAGATAGATAGAAAGAAAAGGAAGAGGCAAAGATAGATAGATAGATAGAAAGAAAGAAAGAAAGAAAGAAAAGGAAGAGGCAAAGATAGATAGATAGAAAGAAAGAAAAGGAAGAGGCAAAGATAGATAGATAGAAAGAAAGAAAGAAAGAAAGAAAGAAAGAAAAGGAAGAGGCAAAGATAGATAGATAGATAGAAAGAAAAGGAAGAGACAAAGATAGATAGATAGATAGATAGAAAGAAAGAAAGAAAGAAAGAAATAAAGAAAAAAAGAAAGAAATAAAAGGAAGAGGCAAAGATAGATAGATAGTTAGAAAGAAAGAAAAGGAAGAGGCAAAGATAGATAGATAGATAGAAAGAAAGAAAGAAAGAAAGAAAAGAAAGAGGCAAAGATAGATAGATAGAAATAAATAAAAGGAAGAGGCAAAGATAGATAGATAGATAGAAAGAAAGAAAAGGAAGAGGCAAAGATAGATAGATAGATAGATAGAAAGAAAGAAAGAAAGAAAGAAAGAAAAGAAAAGGAAGAGGCAAGATAGATAGATAGATAGAAAGAAAAGGAAGAGGCAAAGATAGATAGATAGATAGATAGGTAGAAAGAAAGAAAGAAAGAAAGAAATAAAGAAAGAAAGAAATAAAGAAAGAAAGAAAGAAATAAAAGGAAGAGGCAAAGATAGATAGATAGATAGAAAGAAAGAAAAGGAAGAGGCAAAGATAGATAGATAGATAGAAAGAAAGAAAGAAAGAAAGAAAGGGAAGAGCAAAGATAGATAGATAGATAGATAGATATGAATAAAGTTAGATAGATAGATAGAAAGAGAGAGAGAGAAATTATCCAAGAAAGAGTGTGAGATAGACATAGAAAATATAAGTAAGTAGGAAGGTTAAAAATAGTGCAGATATAAAAAAGAGAAACTGTATATGATGAAATAGAGAGCGTGAGAGAGAGAGGGGGGAGAGGGAGAGAGAGGGAGGGAGAGAATGAGAGTGCATATGCAGATATGAGAGAGGAAGTACAGAGTAGAAAAGAGAGCGTATGTATATGTAATCATGAGAGGGTGGAGCCTACATTGTGACATGGAAAGAGTAAAATGACAGACATTGTGTATATTTAGGCGTAAGAGAGACAGAGCATGTATAATGAGAGAGGAAGCGTGAAAGAGAGAACGGTATAAGCTATATATGAGAGAGAGAGAGAGAGAGAGAGAGAGAGAGAGAGAATATATAGTGAGATCACAATAATAAAAAGAGAGAAATTGTATGGTGTAATTGTACCCAAGAGGTAAGAGGGGTACGTTCAGATATGAGAAGGAATATATCATTTTAAGAGAGAGAGAGAGAGAGAGAGAGAGAGAGAGAGAGAGAGAGAGAGAGTATAAACCGCTTGTATATATAAGCAGGAGGAAAGAATTAGATATGAAGGAGAGAAAGAGAGAGATGACATCTGTATATGCACGTAGGGGAGAGAGAACAAGATTGTACAATGTCTGATCAAAAAGTATCGGGTCTAGGCTATAAAAATAACTCCAACACATATCAATTCGGCATTTAATCACCTACGAAGTAGTCCCCCTCTAAAGCCATACACTTTATCCAACATCGTTTCCATTGATGGAAGCATTCCTGGGATTTCCTCGACTTCTTGAAGTCTTCTTCCTTTCAAGAGGGATTTGATTTTTGGAAAGATAATAAAAGTTGTCAGAGGCGAGATCTGCGGCAGATGGTGGTTGTCGTACGTGGGGAATGTCGTATTCAGCTCCAAACCGCTGCACAAATCATTGTTACTGATTGAAACTCTTAGGTATACGGAGACCATCACACTCTACACACTTTCCTGTCACGCACTACTATAAACAAAGGAAGTGAGCGGGAACGTTGTAACTTAGTGTGTATGCTCGACAGAGTTCAAGGTCAGTTTGTGTCAAGCGGCTACACTCTGCGTACCTTAGCCCCGAAGGAGTATTCTACAAATTTGACATCTACTCAAAACTTTATCACACATTATTAAAGAGAGAACAATAAAAGAACAAAAATTAATAAGACAGAACGTGACGATCGACGTTGCATTTAAATTTTTGAAGATGAAAGCAGACTGGAAAGTAAGAAAATGGAAGAGACGTCCACAGACAAGAAGTGCGAAAGAAGAAACTGTTAACATAGAACTTACGGTTACAATTCAAATGTAAGATGCTGGGACCTTGCCGCCAATCTAGTACTTCACTTAAATCCATAAAGTCTAGGTGCTATATATATATATATATGTATGGGTTAAATAGGAGGACAGACTGGGTTCTATAGCCTTGGATGGCAACTGGTCGAGGAGAAGGACAACTCTGAATTCAAAACCTGCGGAGGGTCGTTTGGGGACCTTGTGACACGTAGTGCACCAGGTCTCTGTATTCGTCCCTTCAAAAAGTGTGGATGGTCCTGCATGAAACCTTCACCACTAGAATCAAATCTCATGTGCTGGTGTCGGGCTGTCGGTTTCCTGGAAACTGATCTGCTTGACCCTCATACGTCGAATCTCGACGGGAGAATCGATTATATATATATATATATATATATATATATATTGTCATCCTAAGACTGTTTCGCTGTATTACTGCTCATCAGTGTGGCTAGACGTCCGGTTGTCTCTAATATATATATATATATATATATATATATATCCAAGTGAACATAGAAGTCAACACGATTGCGTCTAGCATGAAACAGACTGTCGCCTCTAAGTGTTGGCTTCTATGTTCACTTTTATATTTACACACGCTCTATCTCTGATATTGAGCACTTTATCCCATAAATATAGCACATCTTAAGACTATATTTCTTCATATATTTATATATATGTATATATATATATATATATATATATATATATATATATGTATGTATGTGTGTGTGTGTGTGTGTGTGCAAATATATAGAAAATAGGAAAGAACCGTTAGGTTAATAATCCGAAGTTCTTTAGTATTTTTGTTTTATTTTTTAAAAAAGCAGTGCTCGATATACAAGTAGAGCTTATATTATAATTATTCAACATTCCAAAATTCACTTGAGGATGAAACAGAACTAGGTACTTTAATTTAATTTCTATAACTGAATTGGAAACTTTTTAGCCTCTGTTTTTGAAACATGGTAATTCCTATGTAGCGATGGAATCATATTTTAAGAAAATAATTATAATATATATATATATATATATATATATATATATATATATTGATTGATTGGTTCGTTGATTGAGGAATCAAAGAGTCGATTAGAATTCCAGTCGGATCCATTACGTTTACTTACATGCTAATACCCTTGGAAAAAATATGAATCTTCTTCTTCTCCTCCCCAGATTTGGTAAATATCAGAATGGCTTCTATAACCTTCTAGAAAAAGAAGGAACAACCTAGAGAGAGCTTGCCCAAGAAACTTCAACTACGGGTCACAGGGTAATATATATATATATATATATATATATATATATATATATATATATATATATATATAGTGGGTTCAGCAATTTTCAATCTACTTGTCTGAATCATTTTCAAGAAGCGAGAGCAAGATCTAAAGGGTCAGCCAATCTAACAGTGATCTCATCTCACAATCCTCACACTTGCTCCATATGTGGCCTCCTTTGTAAATCACTAGCTGGTTTTAAATGCCATTTAAGATTAACGCACAAACGTTCATAACTGAATCAATAAGCTGACAGATCGTCATCAATAAGCTGTCAGAGAGTCCATTATATATATATATATGCGTGTATTTTTTAATCATTCCACCCCTGCAAAGAAATAAAGCCACTAAAAGGCAAGTGTTAGTGAGCGTTAGTGTATATGAAAAAATATACTATAAGTGGAGAGGTTTGGTTTGGTTTATTTTGTTTTACGCCATATCAACGTCAATGGGTTTTTTAACGCCGACAACATATTTAGTATATATTCGTATGAATAGAATATGTATTCTTTGGTTTTAGATTAGTTTGGTTTATTTTGTTTTACGGCATATCAATCTCAATGGATTATTTAAGTCCCCAAATTTTTTTTTGCTGGTAATATTTTGTTTTGCCATAAATTTGGCCATAGCTAGGACCCCCTAACAGGTGCTACCACCCCGGGTCAGGGTGGACATAAGAACACCAGCAATTAAGAGGTGGTTCCACGCTCCTCAAAACCTCCTGATCAGAAGTCTCGCTACTGGATGTAGTTTATAGTCTTACACAGGACACTGATGTAGTTTAACATCTAATTCGGGGCGATATAAGTGGAAAGGACAATAAAAGAACAAGAATTCAGAAGTCAGAAGATATCGATTATCATAGCATTTAAAGTTTTGAAGATGAAAAGACGGAAGATTGTTCCAATCAAGAAGTACGATAGAAGAAACTGTTAGCATAGAACTTACGGTTAAATCTATCAATTTCAACTGTAAATGATGGGACCTAGCCGGCAATCTAGTACTGCACTTCAATTCATAAAGTCTAGGTACCATAGAGGAAAGTTCATCAGAACAATTGCCATGAAATATATTTTTAATTCTAGAACATATATCAAATTATCTTTTTTTAAACAGTTTTTTTTATAATCAGAGATCCTGCATTATGGATGTTATCCATTATATCGTATGGCTTCAGAGAGAATCTTTCACAAGATATTTGCAGTGCCAAACAACACAGACTTCTGGAGATATTCGATACAAGGCTTTATACTCATAAAATCACATTGCAGATTCTTCTTCCTATTTCAAGAACCAATAAATATATCACAGAAGCACTAGTCCAGATGTGACAGAAATATTCAATGTATAGACGATTGGTAGGCTTATAAATGTGTTAGATAGATTCTGGCGAGAAACATTGTCTAGCATGACAAAGTGAATCAACTTGTTTAGCAACAGAACTAAGAATTGATTCAATATATTTCTCTACTTAGGTTCTAGGAACATTCGCTGTAAAGATTTTTACCGTTGCTTTAGTCTTTTCATCACTCTTTTTTCTTTTATTGACCATTCTTTCATTTTTGCTTTTCTATTGTCATTCATTCCGACATCTTTTAACAAGCTGTCCCTGTTGGTTCTAGGAACATTCGCCGTAAACATTTTTTTGGCGTGGGAAAACTTGCCTCATGTATTTTTGCCGTTGAAAACTTTGCTGTATAGGAGTTTTGCCGGAAGACAATTTCGCCACCTATTTTTTTAATATGCGAAGTACCTTGTTATTAAGTATATCTGGCTCACAGTATTGTTACCTTGATTTAAACATTTTAATAAGCGAAGTTATAGGATCAAAATTCTACATCATTCATCCTCGTCAGTGAGAAGCACAAAAATTTCAACTTGCCACCAGAACTTACGTCACGCAATTTCATATTTCAGACTGAACGTGAAACTTTATGTTAACATAATAACAATCTGCGAATAATTCTCACTAAAGCGATATATATTATTTCAAACTAACTGCCAACTTGAATACGCAACCAACTTCAATATAAAATATCTGATCAAAGAAAGATAACCTTTTCAATCTCTCAGCAAGTTGTTTGAAATATACAATCTTGGCAAACATAAACTGTTTTAAATTCACTATAAATACCTAAATATTGAAATATACTTTCTTATATTTTAATATACGTTGTAACAACACGCCACCTTTTGATCCGAAGTATAATTGACATTCGATCCATCAAACACAAAAACATTTAAACAATTTAAAATACCATCTTGTGATATAATTAAAATACCCAAATTGAATACCTAATTTGAACACCTAAAAAGTAGAATTATATCTTAAACTCTTTAAAATTTCTTTATTCAATCGACATTCGCATGTTAAATTGAACATTACTCTAAAAGGGTTGTTCAAGAAAAGTGTATTTTTGGTGTAGGAAAACTCGCCTCATGTATTTTTGCCGTTGAAAACTTTGCTGTATAGGATTTTTGCCATAAGACAATTTTACCGCAGTTTTTTTAATATGCGAAGTACCTTTTTATCAAATATATCTGGTTCTCCACACTATTGCTACTTCGATTTAAACATTTCAATAAGCAAAGTTATAGGATCAATTGAAAATCTTACATCATTCATCCTCGTTAGTGAGAAGCGCAAAAATTTCAACTTGACACCAGAACCAACGTGACACAATTTCATATTTCAGACTTATCACTAAAGCAATAATATTTCAAACAAAGTTACAACTTGAATATGCAACCAACTTCAATATAAAATACCTGATAAAAGAAAGATAACCTTTTCAATCTCTCAGCAAGTTGTTTGAAATTTACACAAATCATTTGTAAATATAAACTATTTTAAATTCACGATAAATACGTAAATATTGAAATATACTTTTTTTTATATTTGGACATACATTATAACAACACACCACGTTTTGATCCAAAGTATTATTGGCATTCAATTTATCAAACACAAAAACATTTAAAATACCACTTTGTTATATAATTATATTACCCACATTGAATATCTAATTTGAACACTCAAAGAAGGTATAGAGTTATATCTTAAAAGTCTTTAAAATTTCTTTATTCATTCGACATTCGCATATTAAATTGAGCATTACTCCAAAATGGACGTTTAAGATAATGGAATCGAAAAAAAAAAAAATGCGGCGATATTGTTATACGGCAAGACTCCTATACGGGGGATTTTCCTATGACGAAAATTCCTGAGGCGAGCTTTCCTACGGCAAATGTTTACGGCGAATATTCCGGATACGTTCCACTTCATATCAGCAAAAACGTTATTTCGAGAAGGTGCAATGAGTCACTCTCCGAGGGGTTAGCATCAGCCATGCTGTTAGAAGGCAAAATGAGTCCTCTCAGACGATTAAAAGAGACCAGTTTCGTTTTAGAAGTGTTACAATTAACAAGCCATTCCTTGCCCCAGTTAACAACATATTGTAGCTCATATTTTTAGATCAGCTGCCAGTTTTATCTCATCGCACCGTAAATAATATATAACAAGATGTGGAACCAATGCTCTATTTTTGGTCTAATTTCCCACTTGTAAACATAAATCATGGTACATAGTCGACGAGCAAATAAAATTGATTTTAAATGAATTTAGAAGAATAGGTATCATTAAATAGGTTGACAGACAAATAGTCATTGTTCTAGTAAAACTGGTTGTTGTTAAGTTTTCCTGTATTTGTTTCTGTTACTATTTACCCACTCCTTCAAACAGTAACAGCAACGTAATCTAACAATTGTCTCGGTATAACGAAAAAAAAAAAAAAAAAAAAAAAAAAGAAAAACAGCCATACAGCTGTCATTAACTTTATCTTGAATTTCTTCTTTAGATGTTTTTTTTTTTTTACGTAACACCTGCGGGAATCGGATGACACAGAGACAAATACCCAAGGTAGATGAGGATAAACATGGAGTTCTGAGTGTCGTTTTTGTTCAGCCTTTTGCATTAGGACGAACTCAGATATCTATCTATCTATCTATCTATCTATCTATCTATCTATCTATCTATCTATCTAAGTTTGGTCATATCTCTGTCTCAATCTTTCTCTCCCTCCATAATCTATCTATCTATCTATCTATCTATCTAGAACAGTCTATTCATCTCTCTGTTTTTCACTATCACAGTATTTATATCTATCTATAACATTATTCATATCTATCTATCTATCTATCTAAGTTTGGTTATATATCTGTCTCACTTTATCTCTCCCTCCATACTCTATCTATCTATCTATCTATCTATCTATCTATCTATCTATCTATCTAGAACAGTCTATTCATCTCTCTGTTTTTCACTATCACAGTATTTATATCTATCTATAACATTATTCATATCTATCTATCTATCTAAGTTTGGTTATATATCTGTCTCACTTTATCTCTCCCTCCATACTCTATCTATCTATCTATCTATCTATCTATCTATCTATCTATCTATCTATCTAGAACAGTCTATTCATCTCTGTTTCTCTCTATCACAGTATTTATATCTATCTATCTATCTATCTATCTATCTATCTATCTATCTATCTATCTAAGTTTGGTTATATATCTGTCTCACTTTATCTCTCCATCCATACTCTATCTATCTATCTATCTATCTATCTATCTATCTATCTATCTATCTATCTAGAACAGTCTATTCATCTCTGTTTCTCTCTATCACAGTATTTACATCTATCTATCTATCTATCTATCTATGTATTTATTTCAATATTTACCTTTGTTATTTTCTTTCTCTCTTTCGTACACAACACACACTTTATCTTTCTCTCTCTCTCTCTGTATATATATCTTTCTGTCTATCTCTCCATCCATCCATTCACCTTGAAAAATCTTGAAAGAGCAGAAATCTTTGGTTGTTTCTGGCTTAATGTAGATCAATATCGATCTATTTTAATTGTTGTTCCCCCCGAAATACATAAACAAACAATTACCGGAGACTCGTAATTATTACACTTGTTTTTTTTCTTCTTCCCGGTACCACTTCTTGTCGAAGTCTCTGTAGTTTCGTGGACACAATCGACTGCTTTTAACATCGTAAACACGGGTGCAATGTGCAATAAGATATAGTATGTGATTTACACCAGGAAACACCAGATGGTCTGAACCAATTTACCGTCATCCAGAAACATTTGTTCTAAGAAGAGTTGATCTGTGGTGGCCCCAATATGTACGAAGCTTATCCGAAAATGGTACTTTGCGCTTAGTATTGCAAAACACATCCAGCTTTATAAATCTGAAAGGTATTCTCCTAGTCACCTGGTACTGATTCGCGCTTTACACGATATCAATAGCTGTCCCTGATATCTATATAGGTGGTGGATAAAGATATGTTCTGGATGTGCAGTTGTAAATGAAAAAAAAAAACAAACAATAACTTTGTAACCTTGTAGAAATGTAAATATTCCCATACATATAGCATATAAACGCACACGTTACTCAGACATTTGGCCGATGGACACTTGACCGATGGACATTTGGCCGGCGGACATTTGGCCGGCAGACATTTGGCCGGCGGACATTTGGCCGATGGACATTTGGCCGATGGACATTTGGCCGACGGATATTTGGCCGGCGGACATTTGGCCGGCGGATATTTGGCCGATACACATTTGGCCGGTGGACATTTGGCCGATGGACATTAAGCCGGTGGACATTTGGCCGGCGGACATTTGGCCGGCGGACATTAAGCCGGCGGACATTTGGCCGGCGGACATTTGGCCGGCGGACATTTGGCCGATGGACATTTGGCCGACGGATATTTGGCCGGCGGACATTTGGCCGATGGACATTAGGCCGATGGACATTAGGCCGGCGGACATTTGGCCGGCGGACATTTGGCCGGCGGACATTTGGCCGATGGACATTTGGCCGACGGATATTTGGCCGATGGACATTAGGCCGATGGACATTAGGCCGATGGACATTTGGCCGGCGGACATTTGGCCGGCGGACATTTGGCCGGCGGGCATTTGGCCGATGGACATTTGGCCGACGGACATTTGGCCGATGGACATTTGGCCGACGGATATTTGGCCGGCGGACATTTGGCCGGCGGACATTAGGCCGATGGACATTTGGCCGGCGGACATTTGGCCGGCGGACATTTGGCCGATGGACATTTGGCCGGCGGACATTTGGCCGATGGACATTTGGCCGGCGGAGATTAGGCCGGCGGACATTTGGCCGGCGGACATTTGGCCGGCGGTCATTTGGCCGGCGGACATTTGGCCGATGGACATTTGGCCGACGAGCATTTGGCTGGCGGACATTTGACGATGGACATTAAGCCGGTGGACATTTGGCCGGCGGACATTTGGCCGGCGGACATTAAGCCGGCGGACATTTGGCCGGCGGACATTTGGCCGACGGATATTTGGCCGGCGGACATTTGGCCGATGGACATTAGGCCGATGGACATTAGGCCGGCGGACATTTGGCCGGCGGACATTTGGCCGGCGGACATTTGGCCGATGGACATTTGGCCGACGGATATTTGGCCGATGGACATTAGGCCGATGGACATTAGGCCGATGGACATTTGGCCGGCGGACATTTGGCCGGTGGATATTTGGCCGGCGGGCATTTGGCCGATGGACATTTGGCCGACGGACATTGGGCCGATGGACATTTGGCCGACGGATATTTGGCCGGCGGACATTTGGCCGGCGGACATTAGGCCGATGGACATTTGGCCGGCGGACATTTGGCCGGCGGACATTTGGCCGATGGACATTTGGCCGGCGGACATTTGGCCGATGGACATTTGGCCGGCGGAGATTAGGCCGGCGGACATTTGGCCGGCGGACATTTGGCCGGCGGTCATTTGGCCGGCGGACATTTGGCCGATGGACATTTGGCCGATGGACATTTGGCCGACGAGCATTTGGCTGGCGGACATTTGACGATGGACATTTGGCTAGCGGACATTTAAACAATTGGACATTTAACCGAATGGGCATTTAGCCGAAAATGAAGTGGCTTACTTCCATGTATGTAACACTCTTTATCTTAATGTGCTACATATATTTATATTTATTTACTGGATTAATTTATAATTTTCCGGGTTTTTTTTGTTTTTTTTTTGAGAGATTGTTTAAATTCTATTCTGTATATATTATATTCTACTTCAAATATTACTGTAAGATGATAACTATTTTCAGAAAAGGCACATTTTACTACAGAAAAAAACTTGAGCTTTTACGATATGAAAGATCTTTCAATTTCGCGTTTAACTATCATTATCTTAAAGGGATGAACTAGATTTTCTTACTGTTAAATATGAATTTAAATAATTAGGTGCTACTTTCTACCCAAATACAATGAAATATGTTAAAAAATACTAATTTCAATAAACAAATATTGAAATAAGAAAACCTTTAACTTTAAATTTAGTAATTTAATCACTTGAAATTCATTGGTAATTATTAGTTCTACTCTACCTTATAATACTAATAATTAAAATAGTTAAAAGTATTCCTTGTTACTATTTTTACTTGTCCGTTCGGCCAAATGTCTCTCGGCCAAATGTCTGTTCGTTCAAATATCTGTCGGTAAAATGTCTCTCGACCAAATGTTTCCCGCCGAATGTCTCTCACCAAATGTCCGTTCGGTCAAATGTCCGTTCGGTCAAATGTCCGTTCGGTCAAATGTCTGTTCGGCTAAATGTCTCTCAGCCAAATGTCGGTCAAATGTCTATCGCCCAAATGTACGTCGGCCAAGTGTCTGTCGCCAAATATCCGTTCGGTCAAATGCCCGCCAGCCAAATGTCCGTCGGCCAAATGTCCGTTGATTTATGGGGGTATTTAATGCCGAAATCTAAATACTTTGAAGGTAATTTTGTACCTTCAATTAAATATATTTTGAACGTAATTGTATGACTTCAACTATAGATAAAATGTATTTTGGTCATTTTGCTATAAAATGTATTGTTAGTAATTCCGTTACAGTAGTCCACCGTTATAGCGCGGGCCTTGGTGTCGAAGATGGCCGCCCTGTGAGTGAATCGCGGTAGCTGTGAGGGGCGCGTGGACGATAATAGGAGGTTGAACACCTACCTCATTTTGGGGTCCTATTTCGCGATATATACCGTAGATAATGACCCAAAAAGAAACTTAAAAATTTATAGTAATTTATACCAATAATTCCATAAGAAATTTCGGATAATTTGCTTTTTAAGCTCCGCGCTAAGTATTTCAAACCCCATCCATGATATCTGATTACAGTGATTGAATTCCTGTTAATTAGTCCGACATAATAGGAACTCTTTGATCGCGCGCGAAATCGAAATATAAAGTAATTATGTGTAATTATTACCAATACAATTGGATTAGGTGTGAAACGGCCCAGGTGTTAAAATTTCGCAAAATTTGGTCTGTTTGATCATCAAAATCAAGGTAAAACGTGGGAAAAAGGGTGTAATTATTAAAACAAATTAGGACCCATCTGATGATCATTGTTCTGTCTGTCGTGACGATGGCCCAGAAATTGGTAAAATAAAATAGGGTGGAATTTCTAAAAAAAACTGACCGATATTGAGGGTACGAGAGCAAAATCTTAGGGCCCACCACCCAACCCACGGTACACCGGGTACCGCGGTAAACTGGTTCGCCTAATAACGGTGGAGTACTGAATAAAATGTATTTTGGTCATTTTGCTATAAAATTCTATTGTTGGTAATTTTACTATAAATAACTATTGTGGATCATTTTACTAAAAACGTTTTGTTATTTTTTTTTAATATAAATATATATTTTTATACTTTCATGGTGTTTTGGTTCTGTTTGGGATTTCATTATTTGCCCATAGCTGGGACCCTAACAGGTACTACCACTCCGGGTCAAGGGTGAACCTGGGAACAACAGCAATTAAGAGGTGGTTCCTCGCTCCATAAAACATCTAATGTCCCGAACAGAGTCCTTGCTGCCGGATGTAGTTTATCATCATACCCAGGATTATGAGTGTTTGAAAATCTATATAAAAGAGAGGCAATTGAATGGCAAAGTAGGAAAATGATTGCATAATTCGTTTCGATCTCTAAAACCATGTTTCTCTTTTGATGTGAAAAAGATTCAGGCCCACATAAGCACTAATTGAAATTCCAAGTAACAAGAAATAAAGTTTATTTTCAAAAGCAAAATGTAATAGAAAATGTCTATCTATCTATCTATCTATCTATCTATCTATCTATCTATCTATCTATGTCTTTCTGTTCAAATCTATCTATTTCAATTTTCTCATTTCTGTCACTGTTAATATCTATCTATCTATCTATCTATCTATCTATCTATCTATCTATCTATCTATCTATCTTATTCTGTTCATATCTATCTATCTTATTGTGTATTTGTCTATATTTCTGAGAGCAGGTATTATGTACACTATTTACATTACTTAGACTATTGTTTTCATCTTTGTTGCCATGTTTATCACAACAATTATCAGGCGATAACTGATAACTGACATCTATTAGACATAGCACGTGGAACTAGAACAGTCTACCCAAGTGAGCAAAATAAACGGTTCAGTTCGATAGTCTAACCACCTGAAGAAGGCCGAAGCGTACAACGGCTGAAACGTTGAGATAAATATAGCAAAAAAGATGAGATTGATAGTCCGAATAATGTAAATAGTCTATCTCATTCTGTTCCTTCCTATCTATCTATCTATCTATCTATCTATCTATCTATCTATCTATTTTCACTTTGTCATTTCTATTTTATCACTGTTAATATCTATCTATCTTTTCTGTTCTGTTCATATATATCTTTTTTATTCTGTTGATATCTATCTATCTATCTATCTATCTATCTATCTATCTATCTATCTATCTATCTCAGTTTTTTCATTATCTATCTATCTATTGGATTATTTTCATTATCTATCTATCTATCTATCTATCTATCTATCTATCTATCTTCTTTCCAATTGAAAACGTTTCCCTTTTAGACACCGGTAAGTAATCACCATCGATTTAAGACTCTGGAGAAACGGTAACATCGCCTGAAGAGGCACAACTTAGTCCTGAAATATGAAAGCTATTGTGTAGTGATTTTTAAAGTGTTTCTGTTTTAATCTTATATAATAATAATAATAATAATAATAATAATAATAATGATAATAATAATAAAAATAATAATATATATATATATATATATATATATCAGTTTTTATATATACATTAGCATATATAATAAGCAACAGTTTCGATTTTCGATTGTTATGTGTTATGTAATTATATTCGATCATCACTTAAAGTTCATCTATTTCGGGGTCTTTTCAACGACGATAACAGTTGTACGAGCGGCCTCAGAAGAAGTGTATCCGTCCTCTAAGCAAGAAACATCTGCAAGTAAATGATGATAATATATATATATATATATATATATATATATATATATAAACACACACACACACACACACACACACACACACACACACACACACATATATATATATATATATATATATGTATATATATGCGTAAAAAGAAGAGGTTATAGTGATTCCAACGAGAGAAAAGTGTGTATATTAAAAAGAAGAGGGAGACCGCAAACGTCTTTGGTTGTAATATGGATTTTTAAAAAAAATATTATGCTTTACTTTCCATAATTTTGCTACACGGGTTTCCGGTCTCGCCACCTTCATCAGGCAAACCGTGGAGATTAAAAATAATTTTTTTTTTTCTTATGTTTTTCGATGTTAAATATTCTCGATATGAGACATTTTCTTTTTTGTGTGTTAGTGGCCCAAATGTCTTCCTGAATTGGCAGTGAAAAGTTCTGCGTGAAGGGTTATAAAACCAGAGAGAGAGAGAGAGAGAGAAAGAGATAGAGAGAGGGGAGAGAAAGAGAGAGAGAGAGTGAGAGAGAGGGGGGGGGAGAAAGAGAACATATCCATTGTGTTTCGGTTCGGTGAAAGACAGAGAATTGTGATTCCATGTAAAGAAAGATTAGAGAAGACAGAATTACAAGCTGAAGAACGCTAAAAGGGGAAAGAATGCAAAATGCGGCTGGGAGTAATGAAGGTGATTTGGGGACTCAAGGAAGCATAACATTGTAACAGCTGTTGGCAGATTAACATGCACTACAGTTGTCACTCTAGGAACCCCAGAGTCGGCTGAAAAAATTAACTTGGGACGGGAGAATGTGAAATCTGAAAAGAGGTCAGTATGAAAGTAGATACTTTACTTAGGCAACGCGCCCTGAAGCATCTGGAGTTCGATCCTCAAGTAAGAATCCCACATTAGTCACCGTCTGTCAAGTTATGTAAATACCTATTTCAGCGCCTTGTTTGAAATCTAAATGATTTCGATTATCATTGGGTAAATCATCTTTGCGACAGGATATCGAACAAACTCTACACAGATGAAGAAGAGAGCCCAAAAGACCGAAATGTGGTTCTAGAGATTAATGCTAAGCATATCACAGACTGATCATGTTATCGAACGAGGTAGTTCTTGCGGCAAACAGGAACTGAAACTAGGCAATTTTTTCACAGATTTCACACACAATTTTTCCACAGTTTTCACAGTTTTTTCACAGATTTCACAGACAATTTCTTCACAGATTTCAGAGACAATTTTTTCACAGATTTCACAATTTTTTCACAGATTTCACAGACAATTTTTTCACAGATTTCACAGACAATTTCTTCACAGATTTCACATACAATTTTTTCACAGACAATTTCTTCACAGATTTCACAGAAAATTTCTTCTGATTTCACAGACAATTTTTCACAGATTTCTGAGACAATTTCTTCACAGATTTCACATACAATTTTTTCACAGATAATTTCTTCACAGATTTCACAGAAAATTTCTTCACAGATTTCACAGACAATTTCTTCACAGATTTCACAGACAATTTCTTCACAGATTTCACAGAAAATTTCTTCACAGATTTCACAGACAGTTTTTTCACAGATTGCACAGATAATTTCTTCACAGATTTCACAGACAATTTCTTCACAGATTTCACAGACAATTTCTTCACAGATGAAGAGGAAACTTGAGATAGTTGTCCAATAGAAGAATAGTGTAAATACGATGGACGGCACATTCTAGCAATGAGGAAGTTTTACCAAAAATGGAAACGAAAAAGAACACGAAGAATCATAAGGAGCCAGTTGAAATGTCTGGGGTAGATAATAAGGAAAGAGGGCCTGGAGAAATTAACACTCACAGTATATAATGACTGAAAAAAAGATACAACGGAAAACAGCGTAAAATAACTACTTCTGCAGGGCGTAATGAGGAAAGAGGGACTAGTGAATCTGACATTCATAGGCTGTATTAACGTTAAGAGAAGGCAAAATAGCGAATAAACTTAACTTTGACAATATGCCTGGTCTGTTAACGTTTATATGTCTGTCAGTATGAATGGTAAAGTTACAAAGAGTCGGAAGGTTGTCAATATTAAGGGATTATTATTAGTAGTAGTAGTATTATTAGTAGTAGTGATAGTAGTAGTAGTAGAAAATGACAATAAGAGTAACTTATTAATAACTATTCATATATATCATTAGAATAGTGGCTCTTTAGGAAAATTGATAAATTATTCTAAAGGGGCCATTTATCTATCTATCTATCTCAGACTGTTCATATCTATCTATCTATCTATCGATCTATCTCAGACTGTTCATATCTATCTAATTCTCAGACTGTTCATATCTATTCTATCTATCTATCTATCTATCTATCTATCTATCTATCTATCTCTCAGACTGTTCATATCTATCTCAGACTGTTTATATCTATCTATCTATCAGACTGTTCATATCTATCTCAGACTGTTCATATCTATCTATCTATCTATCTATCTATCTCTCAGACTGTTCATATCTATCTATCTGAGACTGTATCTATCTATCTATCTATCTATCTATCTATCTATCTATCTATCAGACTGTTCATATCTATCTATCTCAGACTGTTTATATTTATCTATCTATCTATATCAGTCCGTTCATATCTATCTATCTATCTTATTATTCTGTTGAGATCTATCTTTTCTGTTCTGTTCATATATATCTTTTTATTCTGTTAATATCTATCTATCTATCTATCTATCTATCTATCTATCTATCTTTTTTTAATCTGTTCATATCTATTTATCTTTTTTATTTTGTTCATATCTATCTATCTATCTATCTATCTATCTATCTATCTATCTATCTATCTATCTATCTTCTTGCCAACTGAAACAGTTTCCCTTTCAAACACCGGTACACGCTGCTAATATCCGAAACTAAATATAACACTAAATATCGAATACTTTATCCTCATCAGAGTAATCGCCATCGATTTAAGACTCTGGATAACCAGTAACATCGCCTGAAGAGGCACAACTTAGTGCTGAAACATGAAAGTTATTGTGTATTGATTTTTAATATATATGTTTTCATATGTGCATTAGCATATATGACAAACATCGATTTCGATATGTATGCATTAGGTAATTTTCTCCGATCATCACTTATGCTTCTTCGGGGTCTTTTCGAGGACGACAACAGTTGTACGAGCGGTCTCAAAATTGTGTCAGTCCTATCAGCACGAACGATCTTCAAACGATATATTTCAATAAACATTACTTCTCGGTCTTTTGGGTGGGGTCAAAGTGTCGTATCCGCGGATAAACTACATTTCGTATCTCAGTTCTGTCCTTGTGTTCGGAGATAGACACAACTGTGTCTTTGTCGGCGGACAGAGCACGACTAAAACTATTTTTGAGAAACTATGTGTCAGCTCCTGCCTGCGTGGGGCCGAAAGAAAATACAATCGCTTCTTGGCCTTTTGACTTAGATCAAAGTGTAGCATCTGTTCCCATCAGCCTAATCCGATTCTCTCTATGGTTTAATTCTATCTTAATAACGATTCAGATCGATTTAAATTGTGGCGTTCTCGTAATATCAACGGAGTATTTTTATTACTATTTTTATTAGTAATAGTTTTAGTATTAGTAGTAAATAGGTTTGGTTTGGTTTCTTTTGTTTTACGGTATACCAACCTCAATGGATTAATGCTGACAAAATTTTATTGCTGGTAATATTTTTTTTTCAAAAATATATTGCTGGTAATATTTATTTTTTAAAAAAATGTATTGTATAATTTTTCCTCAAAAACTTTATTGCTGATATTAAAACCTATTTTTACACTTTCATAGTATTTTGACACAAGTTTGAGGGTTAACTATTTGCCAATAGTTGGGAGCCTAACGGGTGCTACCACCCCGGATCAGAGTGGGCCTGGGAAAATGTTACAGTGGAACACACCTATTCTATTGTTAATAAGGGCAGAGTCTCTTTCGGGGAGGTAAACCGATCCTGAACCCGTTTAACGGGTTCAATGGGCATATTTTGGGGGCGGGGGTGACTAATTACAGTCGGTCAGTCAGTCGATGCCGGACGACCGTCAGTCGGATACTAAAGTATCAGCGACCACAACTAGATTTACTCTGCGTCATTACCTATTATATCAAGTTCCTAACGTTTTGTACGTCGAACCTATTTTAGGAGTGACTTAGTACAAATACAAGCCTCCAATGTGAAACCACTCCATAACAGAACACCAGCAAGTAAGAGGCGGTTCTATGCGCCTCAAACCATCCTGATCGGAGCGTTGCTGTTGGACGCAATTTATCGTTATACCCAAGACGCGGGTGTAAATTATCATCTTACCCAGGACGGAGTAAATAGGTATATCCTATCAATAAATACTTACAAAAATCATTGAAATAGAAACTTCTTCATTTCTATTTGAATTTCTGGGATGAGAACTAATGTCCTAATTTTTGTTTCAAGCGCCACACCCTCTGGTCTTCATCAGGTGTTTGTTGATACGGTGAGGTGCAGAGAATTCTTAACGGAATCCCCTATTCAATCTGCGGTGGTAGATTGTTTTCGTTCTTGCTCATGACTAGGAATATCTCGTCTAGTTCTTATTCCTAGTATTGCTCAGTTATTGCTCATCCTGTTTCCACTGAGTCTAAATACACACTACCCAGCCCAGGGTTTGAGCTCACACTTACTGTGTCACCGAATTGAAGAACAAGCGCATTAGTTCATTAAACTATAGTCCCGTGAATTAAATGAACTTGCCAGATCACATGATTAAGACGCTTGGTGGTTAACGACGTCTCGCCTGGAATGGCGTGACAGCGATTCAAATAATTTAACAATCCAGGCAATCATCTGAACGACAAATGCCAGGTTGCTTATTGGCCACATGTTTTTTTTTTTTTTACAACGTTATTTTCATTTTACTCCCACCCCCAAATTTTCCACAATATTTTTTATTTTGACATTACCATTTGCGATATTTTCTCTCTTTGACATCAAAGTTATAAGCGTAACCATCGTATAAAAGATGTCTATCGCCTCGTTGGATATGTTAAAAAAAAAAAACCCAAAAAACGCCATTTTTTTTTAAGGCCAAAGATTTTCAGGCGCGTTTTTTTGTTTTTGTCTTTTTTTGTGTGTGTGTGAGATGTCGCTAAACGCTCCGATTTACAGTTGAGATAGTGTATTCTTTTTACAGTTTTGGTGAGATGTCACTAACACACTTAATTTTAGATGAAATAGCGTATTTTCTTCTTTTATTTTGGTGAGATGTCGGTAACTCTCTAAATTTCAGGTGAGTTTTTTTCTGTTAGATCTTGACGAGATACGGTAAACTCATCTATTTTCCATTTCAGCCGAGTTGACAGTATTTAAATTTAAAAAAAAAAAAAAATTGCTGAGATAGCGCTAAGCCCCTAATATTTTCAGGTAATTTTCTGTTCTTTTTAATAGATTTAAACGAGATGTCGCTACACCCCCACACCTCCATTTTCAAGTAATTTTCTCATCTTTTTAATACATTTGGACAAGACGTCACTAAGCTCACATTTTAAGGTAATTTGCTGTCCTTTTTATTAGGTTGGTGCAAAAATAATGACGTAATAATGTCGTTTTTTTGACAGATTTGGACGAGAGGTCAATAACCTCTATACTTTCAGGTAATTTTCTGTTCTTTTTCATAGATTTGGAAGGAGATGTCGCTAACAACACCCAACAATTTTCAGGTAATTTTCTGTTCTTTTTCATAGATTTGGAAGGAGATGTCGCTAACCTCACCCAACAATTTTCAGGTAATTTTCTGTTCTTTTTCATAGATTTGGAAGGAGATGTCGCTAACCTCACCCAACAATTTTCAGGTAATTTTCTGTTCTTTTTCATAGATTTGGAAGGAGATAAATGTCTGTCCTTTTTAATAGATTAGGACGAGATATCGCTAACACCCCATTTTCAGGTCAACTGTTGTATTTAATAAATTTGGACGAAATGTCACCCCTCCCCCAATTTTCAGGTAATTTCATGTTCTTTTTAATAGATTTGGAAGTGATATCGCTAACTCCCTTATTTTCAGGTATTTTCCTGTTTTTTTTTGTTTTTTTTTTAATAAAGTTGCTCGAGATGTTGCTAACTCTCCAGGCAAGTTAGAGTTTTTCTTTATTAATTTTGGTGAGATGTCGCTAACTGCTCTACTTAGGCGTTCTCGATTGGAATTCAGGAGCTTCATCCCCTGATTGCCTCTCGACGTGTAACTTTTCAAAGAAAGATTCGCAACAAATAAGCATTTATCTGAGACGTGGAGTTATCGCACAGGCATTACTCTGGTAAAAAAATAAAAAAAATAAAATAAAAAATGCAACAATTTAATATTATTTGGTGTGTGTGTGTGTGTCTTTTTTTTCTTTTTTTCTTTTTCACAAGCCGAGTCCGTTCCAGACGTGGGTGATCGTCGCTCTCCACAACATCTTTCTAGCTTGTAAATTTGAACATCTCCAAAGAAAGCTTCTTTCATTTATTCGCCGCAGAGAAATTTTTCTGGCTTGCATCAGCATGATGATAATCTCCACTAGGCTAACACTCTTCGCCTTCTTAGCCTCACGTCTTCCACTGACATGAAGTGGAATGAATATGTCTAGTGAATCGCTGCATCTACTGCAAGGAAAGTTGGTTCACTGTGTCGTGCCAAAAGATTTTTCTCATCAGAATCTATCTGGCACATTTATAAATCTACCCTTCGACCATGTATTGAATAATGTTACCATATCTGGTCTGGTGCTCCTACTATTCAAAGAAGGATCTGTAATGTTATCGATCCTAACCTGGCATCTCGACATCAGTCACTTTCTCACCGACGTGACGTGGCTTACTTCAGACCTGTCTAGTAATATTTTCATTGCTCCGATGAGCTTTTTCTTCCTCTGGTGAACCGACTACATGAATTTAAACGTAATACTAGATTGGCAATTAGGTCTCACCGTTTTACTATTAAACTAGCATGATGCAACCGTCACTTCTACTCTGACAATTTATTTTCTCGCACTTTGAATTTCTTGCTTCCTTGAAAACTAAAATCTTCAAAAATTTGAATGCAACATCAATCGCCATCTTTTTTTCTTGAACCCTATTCCATTTTTGTCTTTTCCTCAATCTTCCCCATTTTCAACCTTTTAAGTCTCTTTCATAGTCACTCTCTGTGCTCCCCCTCCTGTATCTAGTGGCATTACCCATTTAATTTGGGGGAAAAGATAAAATAATAATTCTTAGCAATATTTTTTTTACAAATCTTCCTACTCTCTGTTGTGCCATCACCCTCGTGTTTTAAGTTATTCGTTGTTTCCCGCTTTGCCTATAATACATCCTGTGAGTGTCGAATTCTCCAAACTGTCTTTTCTCGTTATGTGTCCACGAAATTTCAACCGTATCTTTCGGATTCTAAGTAGATGTGTTCTTTTTTGTTTCGATTTTTCCTTGAATCATTCTCGTTACTTACTTGCTCCCTCCGTGGCATTCTCAGCATCCTTCTGTATAGCCACCTCTCTGTCGTCTCAAATTTTCTATTCATCTGTGAGGAAATTGTCCCGCATTCACTGTCATATAGGAGGGTTGATAGAATGTAGCAGTTCAGGAGTCTTTTCTTTGTTTCTAAAACAAAAAAATAATCCTGTTTATTAAATCAGTCAGTCAGTTAAGTGCCATACGCGATACACGCTTGGGTGATCCTGTCTCTTTCGATTCATGACTGACTAGGCAGAAGATTTCTCACAGTGGGTTACCGTTTCTTTCTGCGGTAGACCGGTTGCCTACCAAGGCTATAAGAGCCATTATTGGCGGTAGTGGGGAGAAGAGGTGGATTCATACTTTCCCAAGTGT